GGTGTGGCTGAAGGTGTAGAAATCACAGCATTATGTTGCCTCTCAAGTGATGGAGAGAAAAACAGTAGATCTCATGTTTTGGGAATGAAGGGCTGTTTTGAACGAAAGCAGTGTGGGATGACATGGGGAAGAAGCAAGCTGGAGGCAGGGGGGTTATTGATGCTAGGCAAAAAATTGGCTGTGTGACCGTTACCCATTGTTAAACTGAGTTGGGGTGCATGTACTGTAGCAGTGAGCCAAGTGCTAATTTGGCAGCGGCTTTCCTGTAACGTGTGTGTGTGTGTGTGTGTGTGTGTGTGTGTGTGTGTGTGTGTAGGGTAGCCAGTCTTTGGAGTTGCACACTGTAGGGGAGATAGGGACTAATTCCACAAACAAGAGGATTTCCTGGTTCCTAAAACTAGCTCACAGGGGCTTAAAAGTCACATGCTGCCAAAGCGTCTTAGGCAGCTGCACAAAGTTCCATGTGACATAATTAGACTCCTGTTTGTGCACTTCATTATTTTATTACATTGCATATGGATTGTGCAAAGAAATGCATATCCATGTAGTAAAATGTCTGTCATCTTGCACATGTATATATACCTGTTCCGTGGTTCACCTCCCATTTCCCTAAGCTCTGCAGGCGTTGAATTTTCTCATCCCACATCAAGAAAAGTGTACAGAGCTTCTCCTGGTGTGTCTACTAGGATGCACTGGCCGAAAGAAGTCACTGAACTAAAAGAACTGAATTTCTGGTCCTCCAGCCATGGGAATTCCAGTCATAGGTGTGGAGTGCTGCAGAGGCGAGCTGTCAGGATGCTTGCAACGGAGATATGGAGAAGCCACAAAATCCATTTTGGAACTTGATTCCATGCTTCCGAACATGGTGCAATTCTGCTCACATCTGCTGGAGGCTTCCAGCTTTGACTTGGGGTGCCAAAACCAAGGAGAAAAGGAAATTTGAGGGTTTGTGCCCACCACTGGTTATCATGGGAAACCAACAAGCCGCTGTGTGTTTAATGATTTTTGCCGTGGGTGAGATGTATAGGGTTAGTAGCTGTTTGGGAGGAGGTTGTCTGCCATGTTTCAGAAAAAGTGGAGCAGTGGTTTTTGTACTATGCACCTTTGCATTTCTAAAAAAGAGTATTCCCAGTAACATTTTTATTTCTTGGCAGAAAATGACGACATTGCAGATAGTTGCTCCTTTTCAGAGGATAAATTCTGTCAAGTTGAGGGATAAGTACAGGAATTCTTGTGGAAGAGAGGCCTTTGCATTTCAAGTATCCAAGAAGGGACATATTTTGCAATATTGTTTGTGGTTCATTCTTTTGTAAATGAAAGACAAAATGGCAGGTCCAAAGTGAAAAAAGGGCAAAGTTTCAGAAGGATAGCTCTGGTGATTTATGTGGCAGGGGGAGTTCTCAAACAGGTGTTTCACTGTTTGACTGCCATTATTTCTCTGTATAGGTTTTGGGTTTTTTTGAACAATTAGTATGAAAATATAACATAACATAGAGGTCTCTCTAGACCAGTGGTTTTCAACCTTTCCACAGCTGAGGACCAGCAAAAATAGGAAAACCACCCTAGGGATGGCTGAAGCAGAAACAAACAACACCATACACATAATACAGTACTCTGTGTATTAATTTCCAAACACAATACCGAAAAATGAAAATTCTCCAATATAACCAGAAACCAAGCAACAAAAAATGCCAAAGAACAAAATACTGAAATCGGCATGGCGTGGCTCCCAGCCAGCTTCCACCAAGCTGTCTCTCCCCTTCCCAGCCTCCCCAGTGCACCCCCTGTGATCGTGATGCCAACTGAGGAAGAGGTGGTGGAGCAGAGCCCGCCCCCCATGCTGGTCTGTGGCAAGCTGGATCAGCCCCTCACAAACTGGCAGGAAATCTCTCATGGACCAGCGCTGGTCCCCAGACCAGTGGTTGAAGACCACTGCTCTAGACAGCACTCTCTGCAAAATCTCAGGATAGCTGCATGGTGTCAGAATGCTGGAATGTGTTAATACAGGCCTGGACACCCAACACATGGGCCATGGTATTAGGATAATTGAAACTGGGTTTAAGGCTTTCTTCATCTTGAAGTTTGGTGGCACTGGAAGAATGGTCATCCTACAGTTCCCTCTTTGCCTTTCCACAAAACACAGTGATTGAAAAGCTCTTGCTGAAGATGCCCTATGCTTAGGCGAACCTTTGAGTCACTCAACCCCTCTTGTCTCATCGACTTTTAGAGAAAGAGCAGTAAAAGATTATTTTTTGGGGGGAGGAAAAAATGTCTCCAGCCAAATTTGCAAGCGAAGCTTTGTGTATGGCTCAGCTTTGGTTCTGCTCACTTTGGAGCCTGCTTCACCTTGGGAAGCACCGGAAATAGCCTGACATGTTAACATTTTGAGTTAAGGGGAAGAGGCTCGGGGGCATCCTCTGTGCTCCCTTCTACAGCCCCTCCATATGCCACCTGTCCTCTTTTTCTCCAGCAACATATTGGAGTGCTGTCCCTGTGATATCCTTGTCTCACTCCCAAATTCCTTCCACTGTTCCTGACTCATAGTATTCTTTATCAAAGGATAAGCCAATAGGTGCTCCTGAGTTCATTTTTGTAGTGCAACCTGTTTGCTTCAGTCAGAATCCAGCTCTTGCCCCAGGAGACAGGATCCACACGTTCCCAATCGGAACAATCCACCTCGATAGTCGTCAAAGGACCGTTTCTCAGATCAACCAGTTGCATTCTGCCCTCCCTGAACCTTCAGGGTGGTTTGCCCTGTGTGCAGATGCCTTTCCAGTCTTCCAGTGAACAGCATGAGCACCATCACTGTGGCTCTGTGTTTATGCTCATGTTGAGGAACTGGGGATTAGAGAAGGTGGCTTGGTCAAGGTTACACAGTGAATCTAGGGCAGGGAGTGGCACCCAGCCCTCCCAAGGTGAGCTCAACTGTGGGGGATTGCATCAAGTATCCTCCGCTGCTTCAGTGCTTCTGCTCCCCTTTCCCCGCTCCATCTGCCGTAAGAGAAAAGTGCTTTTTCTCAGTACGAATGCAAGAAAAGCCACACTGCTTCAGGCAAAAGGCCAATCTAGTCCATTGTTCTGCTCCTACAGTGGCCAAACAGAAGCACATGGGAAGCTCACAAGGGAGACATGAAGACATACACCCAGTTAACTCTTCTTCATTTCCCCCACAACTGGCAAAGTGCTTCTGATACTGAAGATACTATATAGCCAACACGACTACTAGCCATTGGTAGCCTTAGCTCCATGAAAATGCCTCTCCCTCCAAAATGGGGTAGATGTTGTCTATGATGGAGATCCCTAAAGTCACCTTAATGACGGGAAGCACTAAGCAAAAACGGCTTGGCCAAGGCGAGGCAAGGAGTCTGTGGTGAAAATTCGAGCAGAAGGTGTTTTTGGCTTAAAATAGATCCTCATCTACAGAGCAAAGGATGCAAGAAACTGCACCAAACCACAAGTCCATGGCAGGAAAGTGTTTTGCATGGGATGCAGACCAGGAAGGGGACAGGGTCAGGTGGAAAAGTTGGGGAAGCAGTCAGGAATGGGGAAGAAATGGGTGCATATGTGGAAAGGTCGAGAGAAAGCTGAGAGACCCAGTGCAGTTTCAGCTGAGCATGCAGGGAAAACTGCCCCCCCCCCCCCCCGATTCTGACAGACTGTGGAGGCTGCTTTCCAGAGCTAGCAAAGCATCAGAAGTGGAGAGCTACGTGAGGCCTCCCTTCCCAGTGCTTGCCACTGGTAAGTGTGGCTTCGTTTTCTGGTAGTACCAGAGGTGGCCATACTGATCTTAAATGTAGCTTTGGGGCAGGGGTGGGGGGTGGACAAGAGGTTGATGGTTTCTCTCTACTGTTTAATGCTGCTTTGTGGGGATTTTTTTTTCTTTTTGTATATGTGAGCTAAGAAGGTGGTCCATTGGCCATCCCATACTGCAGTAGGTGCTCTGTTAGCATACATTGAAGTATCCATGCATGAAGTTACTTTGCTGTTCAGAAGCCCCTGTATTTGCACATATGCTGAAAATCTGTTTGGTTTTTTTTTTAATTAGGCATTTTTGTAACGGAAGGGCTTTTTGATGGTGTGTTGCATGCTTAAGGAAGTATTTTTTGCTCAGAGATGTTGAGTTCGGAGCCTTAACGCTTCCCCCAAAGTGTTATTGGAACTCCTCTGTGCCTATTCTGGAGAGCACAGGATCTCGGCACTGAAATAACATCACGTAGGTGCGGGAGGTGACAATTACCTGCTTGTTGCAATAGTTCTAATTTAAAGTTGTTGCCTTCCCTGGCTCCCAGGAAGATTAGTACTTCTGAAGGACGGGGCTGGTAGGGCACCTGCTCCCATCCATGCTGGCAAATGTAGTGCAGCCCAGTCCCTAACTGGGAGAAGTGGCTCACAGCAGCGGGAGGCACTGTCCACGTTCCCACAATGCATAACACCATTTATTGGGTCCTTGATCCCCAGAACATTGGTGGTGACAAACGATCATACAGAGACAGAAACGTGGCCCCTAAGAGTTTGCACTGCTGTCACACACTTGGAGTTACAGAGCAAGCCAAGAGAGAAGGCCTCTGAGGACCAAAGGAAAGGGCAGGCCCCCCTTGCAGAGGGAATGCCCCAGCTGCGTACTTGGTTGATGGTACCTCTCAGCTGAGTGGGCACTGCAGTTCCACAAAAAGTACTGCACTCTTTTTACGCTCCACAGGCAGCCCTTCCAGAACCACTGCTTCCAAGGTCTGTGGGATACATTATTCCTTCAGGAGGCACGGCCACTGCTTCCCCAGTGCTCACAAGGCTTTGTTGGAGAGGCCACAGCTGTCTTCCCCAGTGCAGCGTCCTGGACAGCAGTCCGACACATCTGGAGAGTGCTAGGTTGCAGAAGGCTGGGCTCTACTGACATTCATAGCAAAGGAAATCTGAACTTGCAGAGACCTTGTTCTGCAAGCCCTACACTTGACATTTTATAATTAGAACAATTAGATATATTGGTCAGTGCTTCCTTTTTTTTGGCCAAATTTTGCATCAAGATAGTACCAGGATTGGGAAGAGAGGGTGGGGAGAATGAAAGAAACAGGGGAAAGAGCTGATAACTCTGAATATATCCCACCTCCCGACCAGGAGGAAAAAATGCACAGACCTTTCTATGTGATTTTAAAACATTTTAGAAAATACTGCCGACACCTGCTTAGCTTGTTTGCTGTAACTATAAGGGCCAGCTCTGAAAAGAAAAAAATGCTGAAACTTTCAGCCATTCTGAGTTTGAACAGTGCTGATCATGGCACAGTCCCTAAACCATGCAAACCTTTGCAGCCCCCAGCAGTGGTACAAAACCCCTTCCGGCACAAGGTTTGTTTGGCAGGCACCACCATCGGCTCCCTGAGAGGGCTCAGCACTCCCCTGTCCCGGGCTGCTTGGCATCAGTGGGGGCCCCTCCAAGGAGCACTGCGCATGCAGGCAGTCCCACGGGGACTTGCGTGTGTGTCTCACACCCAGAAAAGGACTTGGCAGCATCCTGCCAGCTTCAGGCCGCTTGGCAGAGGGCAGGGTTTCCAGTTACACGCCTCCTGCCGCGTCTCCAAGTCCCGGACTGCAGCCATCCTCCTGCCAGGGTAGTGTGGCTGTCTCAAGGGCAAAGAATGAGAACAGTCCCGCAGGACAGCAGCAGATGGGTAAGACATCTTCAGAAGTTGCTCTCGGTTGTGTTGTGGAACTCCAAGGTGCCCGGGAACTCAAAGCAATGGTGCCGCTCACCCATCGTCAAGTTCTCACTGGCGCTACAGCCTGTCCTCTCCAGATACTGTGTGCTAGTCTGTACAGTCGCTGGGCTGCGGACCAGCCCATTGAGGTAGCTCCCGACCAGCTTGTGCTTCTCGCAGGTGCTGGCACTCCCATTGCGGATGTTGAGCGTGTGGCTGTACGTGTGCTTATACTCCTCTTCTATGTCCCGGCCAAGCTTCCAACGCGTCCATTTCTTGGCAAGCTCTGACTGTACCTACAGAGATGAGACACCCACGGGAACAGTTTTGCTGTTGTTTTTGTGCTGTATATTTATCTTATGGCCTGTTTGCACCAATAAATGAACAAACATCTCATGGAGAATCAGTGTGGTTGTGGACTGGGGACCTGGGCGATCCAGGTTCTAGTCCCCACTTGGCCACGAAGCTCACTGGGTGATCATGGACCAGGCACTTGCATTCAGCCTAGCCTACCTCACAGGATGGTTGTTGTGAGGATACAGTGGAGTGGAAGAGGACTGTGTAAGCCACTGAGGGTTCCTTATGAAATTAAAAACAGGCAAGATATAAACGTAGTGGAATGATGATGATCCGCGTGAGAAATACAACCAGAGCTAACATTTTAAGGACCAAAGCTGCATGTTGCATGCAAGCACATGCATTTCATCTCCACTTACTGATTTTTGGTAGTGTGGGTGGGTGGGGTGAGAGGGGGAAGAATGCAAAACCATTCCTCCACCTGCTGCTTTTGGGGTGTGACTCCCTTCCCCCTTCCTTTGAATCCCAAAATCAGCATGAATTAGGTTTTTGCAAGGGTGCTATGAAATATTGGAACTTTTTGGATGGGAAATGCAGCATGCAAAGCAAGGGTTAAGCACCTCCCCTCCTGCTGCGGCTGTTTCTTCTTTCAGTATCGCCCTTCTCCCAAAACTGTGTTTTCACTGCAATCCAGGAGTGCACAACCTGCAGCCCCAAAGCTGGCAGGACTCCACCCATTTTTCTTCACAGCCCCACTAGGCTACGGGGTGGGGAGTGCAGTATGCTGTTCCCTACCTTCCCAGATCAGCCTTTTCCCACAGCTGTTTGAGACGGAGAAATGGCTATCCTGATGAAAATTGCTGCAGGATGGGGGAGACTTTTGCCCCCACCCCAGTGATTCCTAGATCTCAGGAGCCGGAAGGGGAGGACTGCGTGTGTAATGAGAGTGCATCCATGTGCATGTTACTGCTCCCACCCAGGTCAAAGAGCTTATGTACCCCCGGCTATAAGCAGCAGCCGGTTGCAACAGACTGGCCCGGGAACAGTAAACGTGGCCAGAAGTACAGCTGTACTTGTAACAAGATCTCAACACTGCATCTGCTCTGTTGACCCAGTTCCAATTATACATACTACGGCTTTGACTGTCCCTAAAACTAGACCACTTTGTAACAGGGGAATGGAGCTGGGCAGGGTACCCTGCTCCGGCCATATTTCAAAGGACAACACATCTAGTTCCTGCAGTAACTCCAACACCATTCAGATGACTCCAGAGGGAAATCTTGTTCTCTTGACACCAAGACCATTTCGGCTGTGCCCCGTATTTCCCTCGCCCCTGTGTGGTGCACTGTGTGGTGCACTGTGTGGTGCACTCGCCCCTGTGTGGTGCACTCACCTCCTTGTTCACAAAGCAGTAGAGGATGGCTACCAGCATTCCCTAGTGACAGAGGAAACGCAGTTAGGAGAAGGAAAAATGCTACCCAGAAAGATCTGCCTCTGCCCACGGCTCGTGTAGGAGCGGAGCCGGAGGAACCACAGGCTTCCCCCGTCTCACCTGGAAGGAGCTGAGGAAGAGGTCAAAGAAGAGCTTGACGTAGCGCAGCGTGCCCTGGGCGTGCTCGTCAGTGACGAAGGCAAAAACCACTTCATGGATACCCAGCAGTGGGATGAGTGTCAGTGTCGACTTGGCCAGCCTAAGTGGGGCATTGGCAAATTAGAACTGCTTGCGAGGGAAAGGCACCATCACCCAACAGCCAGCCAGAGCCTCCCACGGGCTCCCTGGCCAGTGGAGTTACAAATGGGCCTAGAGCGGGGAGGCAGGGATCTGCTGGAAGCATGGGGAGCGCACATGAGTGCCAGTCTGGGGACCCACGGATGAATGTGCCAGACACCAAACCCCGTGGAGGTGACGGAGGTGACTGCAAGGTGCCCTGAGCCAAGAAAGATCAGGAGGTCGGGGGTACTCAGTGGCAGTGCATATAAAAGGTGGAACAGAATGTTCCCATCCCAAGAAAGCCATGGCCCTCTAGGGCAGTAGCCAATACCGGAACTTGTAGTCCGTGTAGCGCATCTGGTGGGCACGGAGTTTGGAGACCAAGATCTGAATAATGCGGATAAAAATGAAGAAATTGATCTGAAAGAGAGAGAGAGAGAGAGAGAGAGAGAGAGTGGGTTGACTAACAGGCAGGGACTGTTATGGGATATGGATGCACTACTAAATGCTTGAGCATCATTCTAGGTTCTGTTGTTGTTGTTGAATTCCTGAACAAAGCCAACACGGCATAATGGTTAGAGTGCTGGACTGGGATTTGAGCGATCTCAGTACAAGCCCCCACTTGGCCAAGAAGCTCACGGGTGAATTTGGAGTAGTCACTGACTTTCAGCTTGGCGTACCTCACAGGGTTGTTCTGGATAAAATGGAGAGGCACGGCAGGCCACCTTAGATTCCTGCATAGGCAGGAAAAAAGGCAGAATATAAATGAAATAAATAAATACCCTGCCTAATCTCAGTGTTTTACATGTATCTTCCTGTAGTTTCCCGCTGATCCCCTAACCCTTAGCTTTACTAGTGCATTTGGATTAATTTCACAGGATATTAGTGGGTCTCTGGAATGTATACATGTTAATAATGTTTGGACATTTGAGCACTTAGGAAAAGTGCTGTAGATGAGTATTTACCCTGTATCATTTGCAAGTGAGTATTTAGTGTAAGAGCTCCTCAGGTGTGCTTCAAGGTGAGGCTTTTATTGTGCCATTGTCTTGTCTCATTTTTGGGATTTTTGGGAGGACCCACATGGTGTTTCCTTCCTCTCATAACCCTCCTGTGTTTTCCCACCATTTCCTGTGTCTTTTTCCTAAATGCGGAAAATCCATTAAGGAAAAGGACATGGGATTCCAGCACCACAAACACTTTATCTGGAAGCACTCCTAGACTTTGCAGTTACGGCAGGGGAGGGGAGGGGAGGGGAGGGGAAGGCAGCAGTAGCCAGGGGTTCTTTGTATCAGTGTGGACGGCTAGGCCAGCTGCGGCCCTGTCAGGGCAGGACCATCCTTCCTCAGTCGTCCATGCACTAGTGATGGCCAGGCTGGAGTGGCCCAGTGCACGTGGATTACTAGATCACCTTTAAAGACAGTTAGGAGATCAAGCTGGTGCACCACTCACTCGCTCAAGTGCTGGTGGAAGCAATTGAGCCCCTCCTGCATCAGCTACGCTGCTGCCGGGGACATTCTGTGCCCAGCTGAAGTGCTGTTTTTCCGCTTTCGAAATTTTAACGGTTGAGGATCAAGTTACTTGAGGGAACATCCATAGCAGCAAACCTGCAGACTAAAGCCACTTCAGAAGCTCTGCTTACATGCCGGGTCTTGGAACAGCGTACCCCAATCTCCACGTGCTTTGGCCTACAACTCTCATCAGCATAGCCAATGGCTGGGATGATGGGAATTGTTGCCCAAAACATATGGAGAGTCAGTGTGGTGTGGTTAAGACCACGGGACTGGGAGTCAGGGGATCTGGGTTCTAGTCCCTACTCTGCCAAAGCGCCAACTGGGTGAGACTTTGGGCCAGTCACAGACTCTCAGCCCAACCTACCTCACAGGGTTGTTGTTGTGGGGATAAGATGGAGAGGAGGAGACTGATGTAAGCTGCTTTGAGTTCTTTGAAAAAGAAAAGGGTGGGATAGAAATCCAATCAATCAATATGGAAGGCACCACATTGGCAGGTGCAAGCAACGGTTTCCTATTTGTGTCACATGGTATCGATGAGGGCGAACCTGGCTCTATCTTTGCAAGACTTTAAGAGCACCTTTAAAATTCAGCTTTTTTTATTACTTGTTCTTATATTGTAGGCTTATTGGGCTGCCAAATGGAAATAATTATAAATGTGACTCAAAGAATTTTAATATTTCTACTAAACTAGACATTTTAAGCTCATGTTTCTTATCAATTTTTTTATTGCAAGTTAATTATAGTTTATTAGAAGCCATCTTCAAATGAACCTTTTTATCTTTAATGGTGGCTTATACATGTATTAAAATAACAAAATATAAAATAAAATAAAATAGTGAGATAAAGTGGGCAGTCATTTTGGGCTTTAGACAGAAGGTGGCCAACTTACGGCCTTCAAAATGCTTTAGTCTGCAACTCCCAGCATCCCTCACTATGGGCTGTGCTGGCTAAGGTTGAGGGAAGTTGTAGTCCTTATTTATTTATATTTATATATATAAAGCTATACAGTGTATATATAGCTTTTCCAGGCTGTTCTTTAACAACTACTCTCAGAAAGGTGTACAACCATTAGAAACAACATAAAACATAGAAGCACTAACAGATCCACAATAATCATAAAAATTTAGGTAAACTAAACAACAATTAAGCAGGCAAATACATTAAACCAATAACACATAATGTAATAAACGATTAATCCACCACAAGCCAATCATCGTTTGAATAAAAACAAATATAAAATTGTAACCTCTTATTCAACAGTTAAAATAATGGATGAATAAAAAGGTTTTAACCTGGCACTAAATGTATAAAGCATCAGCACCAGGCACACCTCCCTGGGAAGCTGATTCCATAATTGGGGTGCCACAGCCGAGAAGGCCTTTCCCCTCCTAGCCACCTTTCTTACTCCTTTTGGGGTGGCTCACAGAGAAGGGCCTCCATAGATGATCTTAGGATCCGGATAGAGGAGGACGCATTCCTTTAGATATCCAGGCCCTAAGATATCAAAAAGACCTTGGCCATTTTTATGCTAAAACTGAAATGCCCCCTGCATCTGGTTTGTTTCAAGAACATACAGCAAGAATGGGGGAGCTCTGAGCCATGGAACCTCTGTGACCCCATGTCCCTGGAGACTCCTAGACAAGGGGAAGGGTAGAGAGTGGAGTCCTCACCTATCTTAGATAATGGGGGACCCCTTTATGTAGCACCTCACTGATGCCTAGACGGGGGAAATGCAGGGCAGGTGGAGCAGCCCCAACTAAAGCACAGGGTGGAAGAATGCTCCCCCACTTGGCACCTGGACCAGCGAGGTCAGGGTGCAAGCTGGAGTTCCCAAGCTCCTGCCCCGATATCATTCTGCCTGCAGAGAAATGGGGAGGGTATATCTGCCTCCTGAGCCACCTGAAGTTCCCAGCCCTGACATACAGAGATCAGAGGCAAAAGACGATTCCCCACTTGGCAGCTTCTTGGACAAAGCAGCCATTCTGGGCTGACTCCACAGCAGAAGGAACTGGTAGAACTCACCAAGATGGCCAGGAACACGGGGAACCGCAGGATCCACCAGAAGCCCATGTTATTGTTAGTACTCCAGCATCTTGAGAAAGAGAGGAAAAGACGAAACAAAGGTGTGGGCAAGGCAGGTCTGGCTAAGCACACGTGTCCCTGCTCTCGCTTGACCATCCCATGCTCATGAATGGGGCAAGGCGCTCTTCTTGCATCCCAAGCCTCACATGAATGTTGCCTGCTAAACTGCTTGCCTGCCTGCTGGTGGCAAAGGCACTACAGAAACCCGGACCATGTGCATTGCCCTGGTGTATCGCTCACTTGAACTTACTGGATATTTTCGTAAAGGAATTTCACCGTCACCCACGGCACAATGAACAGAATTGGCGCTCCTGGGAAAAGAGAAGATTGGATTAGACGAGGAAGAACTGGCTCTCTCTCTCAGGCAGAAATTAATCTAAGACAAGCTGCCGCTCTTGGTGTTGCCCAACGCAGATGTAGCGGCAGCCCGCAACATGCAACTTGGAGGTGAGAGGCCAAGGGTGCTTAAAACCTGGAGGACCTGCAGCCAGTCTGGGTGTGTGTGTGTGTGGGGGGGGCTTACAGTGTCCCGGCCAGACTTCCCCAGCCTCAGGGCCTCCTGGCATGCTGTAGAATACAGGCTGGGGAAGGCTGCTTGTGTGACCAGGCCAGGCCAAAGCATCCAGAGATGTGCCACTGAAGCAGACAGATCCGTGTGCCAATGGATGTGACCCAGTTGCAAGAATTCACCATGGTGTGATTCACATTTTACAAGTCATTTGCAGATACATGATCCTGACCCAGATCACATGAGGGCAGGGAGTCTTTCATCTTTTCCCCTCATTGCCATCCTGGTCCAGGCTGTTCTCTGCCTCATACCTGCTATTTGCAATGGGGAAAAAAATCGCCTATTTGCCCCAGTGGATGCTTTCCCCCCAATGTGAATAGACAACACAAACCCCAGATCCAGATCAGGGCCTCAGTGGGAAGCAAACAGTTAAATCCCCCCAGTGCATGCCAGGTTCCCATTCCCTTGCCCCCCACATGCCCTGATTCATGTAATTAATAAAAGCCAATCATGCAACGGATAATTGGCAGCTTCTCATATGGTCCCATTTCTCCCAGGTTCAGTGAACTGTGAGATCTTCCAAGAATTTCCAGGCAAGCCCTGAATGACTCGGGGTATCATTATTTATTAGGAAATCTTTGAAAGAAAACTAGAAAAAAATAGTGTGTTTGGAACTGCCCAGAGAGCTTTGATTTTTGGGTAGTATATAAACAAAATAACTGACTAAACATGCTTTAAGAGAAATATGCACAAGGAGGAAGAATAGAAATCAAAATTCCAAGGCTGTGTACAGAGAAAGTTTTCATAGGTCAGACGGTCGTATGGCAGAGCCACTGCTGGTCACAGCCCAGTTATTCATTTCCCCGCTTCTCCTTTTGTCTCTGCTCAAAGAGATGTTGCACTTTGTTTCTGTACCGCTTCCAGAATTGGTTTGACCTGCATCCACGGGAGGGTGGGGGGAGATCAGGATCTTTGCTACAGGCGACAAATGACTGTCAAGCCACCTTCAGTTTTCTCAGAAATGATCATCTGTGCGTGGCCTTAGCTGCAACGCAATGCCCAGATCCATGTGGAGTCGCTTACCCACAGGGCCAAATGTTGCTAGGCATGGCAACAGCCGCTGCCTAGGACAGCCGTGCCTCCTCCCGTGCCTCCCCAGTAATCTCTAGCAATCTCTAGTAAAAGGGCACACATGAGATGCCGTCATTTCTCTCAAGATATCACTTCTCCTGATGCAAATAGAAGCCAACTACCTGAAGGAAGGCATTGGGCTAAAAATCGCTTGAGAAAAAAAGGGCATTTTGATCGGAAATGGCCTGATTCCCCCTTCCTAGACTCTCATGTGACCTGGAACTTAACTATGCACTGGCTTTTGCATGTCTCAAATTTTCTGATGTAGTTCTTGACCAGAACAAATATCTCACAATGTTAGCAATGCATCCTTTGAGAGAAAATGGTATATTTAGACGGTGACCCTATACTGGCTTACCTGAGAGTAGGTCCTATTGAATTCAGTGTTGTTCACCTCTCAGCTGATATGCATGGGAGTGTTGCGTAGACATATATTGTTAGAACTGTGTATTCTGGGGTAAGTAACACCCACCTTTTGACAGAAACTATATTTATAAATTGGTATTTAAATGTGTGTGTTTTTAATGCAGTTCTTCCCCCCACCAATTGTGGATTAATGAAGGAACAGGATGGAATGGGTGCCCTGCAGGGGGCTGCTTGCAAAAGTGGTGCATTTTCAGGGTGGGCAAGCTCCAAGCACAGGTTATGGAATGTGCTCCCTGGAGAGGTGCACCTGGCGCCGAGTCTATATTCTTTTCAGCGCCAGGTTAAAACCTTTTTATTTAATGGCTACTTTAAAAATTAATTTTATCGTTAACAGTCACTTTTTTGTTTTTCTATATTTTTACTGTACTTGTTACTGTTTTATTGTTTTAATTCTACGTTGTTAGCCATCCTGAGATGCCAAGGCATGTGGTGATGGCATATAAAAGTTCTAAATAAATAAAATAAATAAAAATACATTTTTCTTTGTTTGCAGGAAGGCACAGAGAGCAGATAATGGCCATGCGGCACCCACAGTGACCTGGTTGGCTTGATCACCACAGCCCGCGGTGGTGCCAGGTTGCCATTTCAAGTCCTCACTGAGGCTCATCACAATGTCCAAGCCTGGTGAGAGTCAGTCACTGAGGGGTTAACAATCCGCCCCACAACCCTACAATAGCCCATGGGTTCTGCATGGTTAACCACCCAACAAGCTACGATCACCAGCTTCAGACATCACAAGAAGCTGCGCCCAATGAGGGTAATTTATGCAAATCAGCCCAGCACAAACCGAGCATGGATGGGGAGGCTAGCAAGCCACTGTGGCGTATTAACCACAAATGTGGTTTGTGATGTGCAAATGTGTGTGGCTCCCAGAAAGCGCAAGGCAACTCAGTAGCATATTGTCAGGGGGTTGACACAGGCTGGACCATATCTGGTCTTCAACCCAAGGACAAGGGCATCCTTTCAATGCCTTCTTTTAAGGCAAGAAACAGGAAGGCTGCAGAGTCTGTGAGCGCTCCAGGTCCCATCAGCCCTGGCCCATCTCTCAGGACTGGTTCCTTCTCCATGTTACTGCAGCACAACACCCCTCCCCTCGCCCAGCCCAAGAGTCCCACCACCACCTTCTTCCTCAGCTCTCACCTTCTGCATCCTCCCCACTCCTCTCTCACCATATAGCTTTTAAGCAAATCCTGACCAATCTGGAATCACTGCAAAATCTGACCAGTCAAGATTTTAATTAAACCATCCACCAAAGTGACCCAGCAAGGCACCCAGAATTTAATGAAACCACACACCGAACCAGTCCAGAAGGGCACCAGATAGTGGAGCACTCGGGACCACCTTCCCTAACTTGGCATTCTCCAGATGCGGCCCTTGTAGGCCTCATCCAGCATGTCCAATTGCCAACAGGTGGTGGCACATGAGCACCATTCCCTGCCCGTCCTGTAGCGATCTCCCCATCTCTGTCATCCCTGCTAAGCTGATCTTGCCATGTTCCCGTGAAAAGGACCACCATCCTTCATCCTGCTCCGTGCGCCAGCCCTCTAATACTCACCCCAACCAATGCAGAGGTAGAGGGTGAAGTAGCTGCGCTCGGAGAAGACGGCTAGCACGAGCAGGTTGTGTAGATAGATTCCTTCCACCAGCAGCCAGCAGTAGTTGGCCACGATGCCATACTGCATGAACACCGTAGCTGTCCGACACCCTGCTGCTGCCTGCGGGGACGGAGAGGAGTCCGTGAGAAGACAGGGCAGCCCGGGAACTTTTGGCAGGCAGGAAGCCCTCAATACTCAGGCCAACTTTTCACATAAAAGGCTGTGAAGCTGTTGCGATGGAGGGCAATTTCCCTTCAACAACTCCCACTGCTTTGTGGCTGGTGCTTTCTAAATCAAAGTTCCTGGAATGGGAACTTCAGGCGTAAGCAGCAGTGCAGCACCAGACAGAGAACTTTCGGCGGTCTTAATCCCGCCTTGGCAATGCTCCAATGGCTTTGTTCAAGTTTTGACTTGCCGCTTGCATCGAAAGGCTTGCGGGAGAATGATGCTGGGTCCCATATACATGAATGAAAGTGGATGTGAAGCCACTGAAGTTTGCAGAGAGTACTCTGTGCAGATGATGGTGGCAAGGCTTAACTGGAACCAGGACTTAGCCCCTGGATCAACTTTCGATTCTGCACGGGCCTTCCTGACAGACAGTTCATACACAGAACAGTGCCAGGCTGCCTCGTGCTCGCTCTGTGCATGACTGCTGTTCACTCATGATGGGACGCAGCAAAGTGACCGAAGGTACATTGTTGGCAGCTTCCCACTAACTGGCGTTCTTCAGAAGTGTTGGATGGCGACTCCCAGCATTGGCAGCCAGCGCTGCCAACGGAGGAAGGCTGAAGTGGGGTGACATTTATATTATGCCTTAGTTTAACCCAAAGTGACTTCAAAATAGCTCTACAGAAGCACCCAAACTGTTTTGGTGGCTCCTGGGACAGCAGATAAGGTTAGCCCCGTGCCAAAACACGAAGTGATGTGACCGAGAACCAATGGGTTACTTTGCATCTGTACAGGGCTGGGGAGGCAACCGAAACTTGCTGCCTGCTGATGATACGGAGGTTAGCCCAAGTGCAAAAGGGAGGGAGGCAGGGAGGGAGGGAGGGAGGGTTGGGAAAGGCCACTTCACCTCATCCGTCAACCAAAGGCCCACGTTGTAGTCGTCGATCTCCTCACTGTAGCGGGTGTTGAGCAGCATGTCGATGATGAGCACCGAGACGTTCTTCAGGATGAAGGAGACGAAGAGGTTCATGTGGATGTAGTTGCGCATGCAGTGCAGCTTGCTGGGGAGCAGGGAGCCGGTCAGCCAGGCCCGCCCGTCGTGTAGCGCCCCCCTCAGCCTTTCCCCGCACATCCTGCGCCCTGGTCGTAGGCTTCCCCCACCCTGGACCCACCCATCGTAGCCACGGCGTGCTCCACCCTGGGCTCTCCCCTCCTGCTCGTAAACTGAGAATCATCCTGCCCTTTTCTCCTCATAAATCCTCCGTGGGATTCACGAGAAAGCACCAGGAGGCTCCCAACTGGTCATGGAGCCCCCTTACCAATGGACATACAGTACCTTTCCTTCCTTCCACTGACATACTTACACACCCACCAAGCCACATGTTCTCAGCACAAACACTCAGTTATACACAGCTGTAACTCATTTCAGTTCCGCTTAGAGTAAGCCCATACTTCTCATTTCTTAGAGGCATTCCTTCCTACCACGGGAGTAAATTTTATCAGTCAAGATGGCATGGCCAAGATCCACAACAGCTGTGTTCTGGCACTTCCCAAGTTTGTTATGGTCAGCCTGGAGTGGCCCACTCAACCGAACCGCACTGATTCCATCTTCACAGAAGCCTCCCTTTCACAATCGTTGCAGGTCTCTGCTAAAATTAAAGTGCAGGTGACCTGGATGCTGGCAGAGCAGTGCTGACACCCTGGCTAAGGTCATCTCAAGGCCAAGCACCTCCACCTAGGAGCCTACCTCCTAGCAAACTGCCTTGGTGCTTAAACAATCTAGAATCTGTCTCAGAGCAGAGGATGAGTTACTGCCAGAAAGTCAGCAGACAGAAAACAAGAGGTTTTTCTTGAAGTGAATGGTGGAGCTCTGCTTCCCTGGGAAAGGAGGTTCAGGGTCTTTTCTCACTCATACCCGTGTGCAGAGTGGCTCATCCACAAAGTAGGGAGAGCTTGATGCAAGCGCCAAAGGAGATCGCACCACGGTCTTAGGACAGGCACCAAGGCATAGCTCTTCCCAGAAGCAAGGGAAGAGCTGGCAGCCACTCGGGAGGGTCTTCAAGGAACCAGGTAGGCAGGTGAACACAGGGCCATGCTAGCTGGTTTGTATTTTTTGTTTATTTGCCATTTGCAGCTGAATTGTCACATTAAAACCAGGCAGTGCTTGAACCTGAAGCAGACGCCCCCTTTTTCCATTCTGCACCTTTTGGCTTGAATCCCTAATAAGTCTTTTAGCTTGTTTTCCTCGAAACCCAAATTCTGTGCTTTGGGGATGCAAGTGGGAAGGTTCACGAGGGGAAGATCACCTGACTGATCACACTCATGCTGATTTAAGGGCCAGGGTACATATAACTTCTTGTAAACTAACCTGTGCTCCCTTAAAGACACAAGGGGGCTGCAGAAAAGCCCAAAGCAGGGGTCTCAATTGGGATCCTTGGCCACTCATTCCCAAGGGACCAAAAGCACCCAAAGACTGAGGGGACTGGGGTTGTTTTACTCTTGGCAGTGGCAGCCAGTTCCAGTTTTGGCAACACTCCAACCAATCTGGGCCTGTAGCCAGGATTCCTGCATGTGCCAAGTTGCCACAAAAATAGCTAACATAGTTTGCACCCATGATCCTGATGTGTATATCAGCTAAGCTTGTGACATGATTAGGGATCCACCTGGATCTCCCCACTGGACCAACATAAAATAATCAGCTCGTGGTACAGAATAATAATGAATATCCAATTGAACAAATTCATTTAACATTCCACTGATAAAGCTGCCTTTTCTAAAAACAACAACAAAACAGCACATATCATTTATGCCTTTCACTGTCTCCAGTGTGGAAGGGAAGTAGCATCTCCTCGACGTGGGGTGTGATAACAAGTGTACAATAAGGCATTAATTGTACACTTGTTATTTCCTACGCACAGTTGTTTACAGTTTTTTTAGATTAAGTCATGACCCTCCAATTTCACTTAAGTTTACACTTTCTGGGAGTATTTTTAGGGCAAGAAAAGTGGGATATTTTTTCCAGTGGTGGAAAGAAAACTATTTTTACTTGTGTATTTGTGCTATTCTGCTCTATCACAACACTGGTCGCAGCCCAACACTGGAAAAGCAGGAAAGAAAATGCTGCTTGTTTAGTGTTCAGATCTCAGGTCCACAATGAAATGCAAAGTACATACAGAGGATTAACAGAGGATTGTGTAGAAAAGACAAAGGTGAGATGCCATCTCACATCTTTTCAGGTGGACCACCCACATTTTAGGTAGGCATCAATGATTCAAGCCTAACCATCCCACTCCTCTTGTCTCCATCTGTAAAATCATCTCACCACCTTCAAAACCATCCTCTTTCCCACTTCAGACATGCTGCCACCAGTCACACGCCCTTTTCACTCCCAGTCCAGTCCCAAGATACCTGAAGCCCAGCAGGATAGCCAGTGCAAGGAGCAGGGCACAGAGGGACACCGAGTAGCCAACTGTGTACATCACCTTGAAGCTACCATAGATCCTAGCAAACTTCTCCTGCAAAGAGAAAAGAGAAATGTGGAGAAATTGAAGCCTAAGAGGGACTGGACTGATCCACTTCCCAACCGTTGTCCAGGGTCCCCTCTTGAATATAAATAGAAGCAGGATGAAGCCCCTAAAATTCGTTTAAGCCCTTTGTGCTCACCTGTTCTAAGATGGTCCCGTTGTCCATCACACATTGCCGGGTGTCACGCAATGTCTTTCCTTCAGGATTGGTTATCCACTGTCCATCTGGGCCACACTTTTTGAATACATGGCCATTCTTCACTGGAGGCAGGACAAACATAGTTAGGATAATTGTTCCCTATTCTAGGAGTGAGTAGATTGCCAGATGTTTTGGACTTCACCTCCCAGAAGCCCCTTTCACCATGGCCAGTGGCCAGGGATCTACGTTTGCCCTGCCCCACTCCACACCGCAGGCGCGCTTGCTCTGACCTTAACCGTCGGTTGCTGTTTCTCTGCTCCCACCAGTGCCCACAACTCCTGGTCCCTTTGGCTTCCCTCCTCATCTCTCTGGACTGCTCCCCACTTACTACTAGACCCCTCCTGGACCCTCTTGCTGTGCCCCTACCAGGCACAGTCCCCCTGCAGCCGCCTCCTCCCTTCAGGGTGACGCACCTTGGTCGTACCAGGGCAGGAACCAGGGGCAGGACACATTGACAATGCTGTTAGGCTGCGCATCGGGCCAGCACGAGAACTTGTCGAAGGTTCTGTTACAGACCAGCTCTGAGCAAGAAGAGAGATGCATTATGTGACAGTGGTGGGCATCCCATGTTGCATTTGCGTGTGTATTTGAGAGTGTGTGTGTGTGCACGTGTGCATGCATGTGCACATATGTGGGAAGGAGCTTGTGCTGCCTTGCTGCCTACACATGTTGCTCTTTCTGTAACTGAGGGACTCGCCCTCAGCTATTGACCCTTGATGTTCTGTCAAGGAGACCCTCCAGCAGAATTTGTCCTTGGGACGTATCTATACTCCAGCTCCACATACATGCGCAAGCACACAGCTGCCTTGTATTTGGCGGCATTTGAAAATTCTGAATCAAGACAGTCTCTGTAGCCATGCCCCAGGTCAAGTCCAAACATGCAGGCAGCCGTGTGAATCGGTGTGCGCGTGCCAATGTGAATTGCACGTGCCCTTTGTCAAGTGAAGGGGTCTTGCCCATCCAAGACCGAGCCGCTCCAGATGGTTGCGTTACACAATGTACCACTGCTTGAGAAGTCCATCAGCATCACAGCTGTGTTCAGAAGGGAGTGAGAAGCCAGGGAGGTGGGGCAGCAGCAAAGGAGATGCAGGGAGGCTGGAGGCATTCAGGATGCAACTGGACAGCCATCTGAGAGGGGAGGTGTAACTTGGTGTCCTGCACTGAGCAGGAGGCTGCCCCCCGGCCCCTTCCAGCTCTACTCTTCTGTGATTCTGCATCCTGCTAATCGAAACAGCCGTGCGAGCCACTTCACCATGGACAGTAATTCATTTGCAAAGCTCCCCCTGCTCCATCCTCCCTCAATCCATCCAGTGGGATCCACTGCCCTGAAATGATATTTTAGTATCCCTTCCCAAGGGAAAGAACACGGCTTCTTCTCCTTTGCTTAAGCTGATTTATGCAACATCCTTTCCTACACCGGCAGGTAGCTGCTCTGCCCCCTCAAGTGCTCCAAATTGTTGTCCCACGGCCACGGGTGCTGGCATGCACAAAGGCGTTGGGATTCTAGCATAAGCTGCCCATTGCTTAGCAGGGAGCCCAAGCCTAAACAAACAAACAAATGGGCCAGAAAAACAACCTGGTGGGAAAGCGGACTGGGTTACCCTTTTAAATGTTTTGGCCAGCCCAAGAAACATTGCTGCCGGAGGTGGAGCAGCAAAGGGGGCCCTCCCCACCCCGCAACGCCGCAGCCGAGGTACCCGAGGTGGGAGATCCCTGTGGCAGCAGTCAAACTACAGTAATAATGACAGGCTACTGCCCTTCCGGGGGAGGGGGAGCCTTGGCCGCTGTAAAGGCAGGGCCTGCCCGCCATCCCTCCCCAGAGGGCCATTGCCCTCCCGCAATCTCCTGCGATGTGGCCCTCAGCCCGTGCCCCCTCCAAGGGGCTCTTGTCTTACCGGTCGGGGGCGGCAGGAGGCTCATGTTGCGGTGGCACTCCTCGCTGTAGGCCTTCCACTTGTCAAAGACGATGTCTGTGACCTGGGCGGAGGGGGCCTACGGAGAAGGGCGGCAAAGGAGGACCGGCATGAAGCATGCATGTGTGTGAATCTGGCCCGGGCGGGGAGCAGGGGAGGAAGGAGGGCCCGGCCCTTACCTGGAGGCACAGCAGCAGCACCAGGAGGATCCCGGCCGGGTGAGGGCGTAACATCCTTCGGCAAGGCTGCCCGGGCACATGGGGATGCCCCCGGGGCCGCTGGCTTCCTAGAGAGTATCCTGGCAGTGCTTGAGGAGGATCCCTGTGAGGAGTAAGTGGGGGGGAGAGTGAAGCCGCTCGCTCGTGCCTCAAGCTCGTCGCCGTTCTTCTTCAGGCTCTGAGCTCCTGCACCCTCCCATCTCCAAGGCTGGTGACGCAGGCCGGGGTAGGGTGTGCTGGGCCACGTCCAGACGTGCGTTTGGAGCCAGCAGACGATGGACTGGCAGGGACCAATGAGGAGTCAGTACGTCTGCGGTGGCCTCCCCCTGGTCAGGTGCTTGGGCCTGCCGGCACTGCGACCCGGCCTCTGGTTGGTGCTGGGCCGTCTCTGGGCCCCGCTGCAGCCGAGGAAGCGGCTGGCTCCCAGTCCCGGGGGCTGCTTTAGACGCCAGAGGCTGTAACCAGATCCTGCCTGGGGGCTGCTATTTCAGGGCTGGCTCTGGATCCCTGCCAAGTGCCCAGCGGGACATGACCCACTATGTAGCTGCATGGGGACTTTTCTCCTCTCGTTCAGCCCCTCGGAACACCCGGCCAGCCTGTGCCTCCCATACCGTGCTCGCTCACTCGCTTGCTCATTCGCTCGCTCGTCTAAGGCTGTGGCAGGCGCTGGGGAGCAGAGCTGGACAGTACATGAGACATTAGGCAGGAAAGCGGCCCCACACCTTCTCGGCTAAGCTGTAAACAACTCTCCTGGGGAAGCTGGTTTGCTTGTGAGGCAGGTTGGATCGGCCAGTTCTCCATGGGTTGCACCTTCCCCATGACGGCCACTGGTAGACCAGCCCCAGAGGAATGGATGGGAGGCAGCTAGGTGCCCATGTGTGCACAATGAAGGTGCAGGAAGCCAAGGGCACTGGAAACCACGTGTCTGGGGACCAGAAAAAGGGCAGCGCAGCAGTGTGCCGGGGTGCCAAAGTTGTGCTGCTTGGGGGACCCAGCAGAGGGCAGCACGGCTGTGCAGGATGCAGTGTGGCCAGCAGTGAGGGCATGTGGCAGCGAGAGCAGCTGGCGGCAGGTTGTGTGGGAAGAGGGGAAGCGTGCCTGCCCTGGCATGTTTGCAAAGAAGGGCTGGCAAAGCAGGGCACGCCGAGGGCTCCTGATCCTGGCTGGACTCTCTGTCCCCATGTGGGCACCGGCTGGTACATTCCATCACAGGGCTGGTTCCACTTGGTGGCATCAGCAGCTCTCCTGATTCAGAGCTGACTTCTGTTTCCCATCGCCCGCCTAGTCCCTGCCCAAGGAGACATTGCATACGGGGAAGCACGGGCGCGAATACACCAGCACTGTCTTTGGCCTGCTTACAGTTCCTGGGGGCACAGCCCAGCTAAGGCCAACTGGCAGTTAATCATTAATGCCCTCCAGATGAGCCCGGGGACCATGCCATGTCCCAGCCCCTCAGCCCAGACCTCACCCACCCTCTTGCCGACAAAGGGCCCAACACAAACTCTTCGGCCAAAAAGTGAGGCTGTGCTCCGGAGGGCGGTTGGGCAGTGTGCCATGTCTGCAACCCATCCAGGGTAAACTCCAATGCACACAATAGCTAATTCCTTCAATCCCCTTCTAATCTGGTTAAAGGGCTCCTGAATGGGAATGTAGTGCTCCTGACAAACAAGCTATTCTTGCCGCATGCCTTGGAACAACAGGCCGAGCTTGTGGCATCAGGCATTGCCGGAACTCTGCTGGGATTAAGGAAGTGCTCTTCAGCCGCCCCACGAAAACAGGCGAGAACACGTGGCCTGGAATGCAAACATTCACCCGTCATGCCCTAGAGCGGGCGCAGGAAGCAGGCACTTTCAGATTGGCTGGCAGAGCTCTGGGCAGAGGGCAGTCCCGCTGCAGGGGTTCTTCCTCCCCACTGCTTAACCACATCAACAAGGATGCTCCCTCCTCTACCACCACCTCTTTCAAGACCACGCTTCTTAATCCTACTACATGCACTTCTGTCCCATTCCCAAGAACAACAAATCACATAAAGCCAGGGAGCCTCAAGTCTGCTAAAGGGAACAGCCCCTCGTGGGTCCACTGGCCTTGTCCTGTAGTCAGTGGTGCAGCAAGGTCTGGATCTTGGGGCTGAAGTCCGAGACCCCACAGCCAAGGGCTGCCCCAAATTATCACCTGGAAAAGTGGCAAGTCAGGAAGGCAGCAATGCAGCAGAAGCAAACTCCATTTTATTCCTGTAGTCGTGATGAGGCTATGATCTAAGGAAGGCTTCAAGGCGCAACTCCACATGCTCAGAGTATTTTTTTTAAAGCTCTTAAGCTTTTCCCTTAATCTGAAGTATCAGGAGAGCAAAAGCACTTTTACAGCATGGGATGATGACAGGAAAGCAGAGAAGAAGAATGGATTTTTGGTATGTGATTCGTGACTGAAGCCACGGCCATCTAGAGTGGTGCTGCTGGAGGGGCAGGAACAAGACCATTAGGACGTCTAAAGTTACCCAGCTGCACCGCTGCTTCCATTACTCACTGGAGAACAACAAAAAGTGCTCTCCAGGGACACCCACATACACGCACAGATTATTTATTATTGTGAGCCGCCCTGAGGCTTCGGTGAATGGTGCGGCATAGAAGCCTTCTAAATAAATAAATAAAGGATCTAGAACACGGCCCTGTTTCCCTCGGTCAGGGTGCTGACAAGACTCTCGAGGCAGGAAGCAACTGCAGCCTGCTCTAGATAGATGGGTGCCTGGCTCTAGATAGATGGGTGCCTGGCAACTGACTGAATGAGAGCTAAGAAGCTGAAGCTCAGTCCAAGCAAAACCGAGAAGCTGCCTGTGGCTGATTTTTCTGTCTGGCTAGATGGAGGGTGCTCCACCTATTCTTGATGGGGCTCCACACACCCCGGAGGAGCAGGTCTGTAGCTTGGGTTCCTCCTGGAGTCCTCTTTGTCACTCATGGCTCTGGTGGCCTCTGTGGCATGGAGTGGCTTCTACTAGCCTTTCCTGGTGGCCCAGCTATGTTCCGATCTGGACAGGGGTAAAACTGTCTAAGCTCTCCAGGTTGGATTACTGCAATACATTCTATGTGGGGCTGCCTTTGAATACGATTCAAAAGCTGCACCTTGTGCAAAATACAGCAGCCAGATTGATAAGAGGGACCAAAAAGTCTAAAAAGATATAACAATGATACTGCCCTTCTTGCATCGACTCCCTGTATCTTTCTGATTCGAAGTGTTGTTTTTAATGTATAAAGCTTTACACAGCTTGGGATCACAACACCTGATGGAGCAGCTCTCCCCGCATGAATCACATGTTTATGACATTGATCATCTAAGATCCTCTGGGTGTTTCTTCTGAGGGAGGCTCAGAAGGCGGAAACAAGGAAAGAGACTCCTTAAGGGCGACTCCTGCCCATCATGGAACAATCTCCCCAGCAAGGCACCCCTGATCCCAACACCATTATCCTTTCAGTCCCAGATTAAGAGTGTCCTCTACTCCCAGCATAGAGTTTTAATGGAATCTCTTATTTTACATATTTAATTAAAGCATTTTTATGCTACTTTTTGATCAGAATGGATCTACAGGGCAACTTGTAATCGTTTAATATTGCAGCAAAACCATATCAAATGGATAAAAGCAAAAAGAGAGTGCAAATCAGTGACAATCAGCCCACAGGATCAGCACAGAACTCACTGGGCCCTCATGGTGCTGATCAAGTGGTTTGGATTCTGTGCTGTGGCATGACTGAGCGGCATACAACTGTTTTAAATAAATAAATAAATTCAGACTTTTTAAAGAATTTAGGATTTCTTTAGCAGGGCAAAGTATGGCAATGGATATGGAAGCCTTCACTGTATGTTGTATCTTTGTACTGCTGCTAGTTTTTAGCTTGGCTTTTCCTTCTACTTAATATTGTAGTTTTAAAATTTTAAAGTGCGCTTTCTGTTGGGTTTTTGGATTTTAATTTTGAACAGACAAGAGAGCATCCAATATTGAGTAAGACAGAAATGTAATAAATAAAGAAACAAGCACTAGTGCAGATGGTATATTATATACGAAGGGTCTGGCATAAAGTGTGTACACATGGTGAAAGCCCTGGTCCCTCCTGGTCTCAGGAGCATGGCAGTGCTGAAGTCAAAGTCCCGAAGGCCCACTCTGGGCTCGGAAACTTTAGCCAAGCCTGCCTAATGTCTTGTCACATTTTCTCTCTCAAGCATGGAGACCGCTGATCGGTTCCTTTTAACGAAGGAGATCTGACCCTGGAATTCAAGATATCACATGAAATTTCAACTGGCACAAAATAGGGTGGTGTGACCGCTGGTGCAAGCAAGTTTGAATGCCCATATTACTCCAGCCCTATACAACTCCATTGGTTACTGGTTGAGCTCTTGGCCCAGTTTAAGGTGCTCGTGTTGACATGTGAAGCCCTTAAATGGCTTGGGGCCAGGACACCTAAAGGACAGCCTGCTTTCACGTGTACCTAGCCAACCCCTGAAATCGGGTTCCAAGGAGGTACGGAGGATGGCGAGCAGAAGAGGGGGCTTCTCAGGAGAACCAGGCGGAAGAAGCCATGACTGTTTCAACTCCTGAATTTGGGATACAAAGGTACATGTATATTATCCGGGCTGAGTCGAAGTGTTGCAGTGCCACTATTTTTGTAATGATGCTCCCTGCCAGGCTGGCCTGTCGATTAAGTAGTAAAAGTTATATTATTATAATGCCGTGATCTTGCAGTTCTTTCTCTGCACACATGAAAAGAGATCCAGGTGCTCATTCCTGATGCTATGAGGAAGGGATAACTTGGTGCCTTCAGATGTGGTGGATAACCACTGCCATAATCCCCAGCCAAGATTATAAATTGTAGTCTAGCATCAAGACACCAGGATGGGCTAGGATGTCATACAGTGTGTTTCTTTCCTGCTGCTGGCAGTTATGAACAAATTTGAAGCCCGCTTCTCAGAAACGCGAGCTGTCTTAGTTGCATACTTGATGTTCACCTTTTGAACTACTCCGCTTTCATTCATTTGTGAATCAGATGCAATTTTGCCAAATAATAAAATGATCTGGATTTGTGGGCATGTATGAACCGCCTGCTGTGCAAAACACAA